GAGCATAGTTGGGGCTGGAGCTGCTGAGGTGTAGGGTGTGTCCATCTTTGACCTCCTTGCTGACTCTTATTTAATTTCCTTTCAGTTTATTGTTCAACAGTTTGCCAGTCTCTGGTTCCATTGACTTCTTAAACAATAAATGGCTTTCTGCCTAAGAAGGGCCTTTTTCTTTGGTGGTTTTAATTTTCTACATTTATTTATATTGTTATAATAGTAACACTTATGGTACTTGTAGTATTTGGGGGAGAGAACTCATGTCTCAGAATTAGAAAATAATTCCGTTTGCAGCTCTGCTCACTATTTTGTCACTGTGAGCCTTTTTCTTACACTGGGCTAGCACCACCCTGGTTTCTAGTATGAACTTCTGAGTGTTACTTGCTGATGACTCCAAACACAAAATATCACTGAGCACACACACTTTGGCAGAAATGATCATATTTAAGTAGCACAGGTCATTGGTTTAACTTAATAAGGAGGAAACTAATATTTGCTAATGACCTACTAAGGGCGTGTCCTTGCTTGACCTTTTCACATGTCATTTATGTTAACCCTCCGAACACTGTGTAGCATATTGCTTTTCTTTTCTCTCTTCATTTTATAGCTGGGGATCAAGAGTATTAGAGGAGTTGGACAAATCAAGATCACAGAACAAAATTAGGGTTTAAATTCAGGCCTTTTGACTCTTGATTTAGGGTTCTAATCTATAGTACAGGAATAGAAATATTTATGTGTGTGTGTGTACATATGCAGATACATATATATGGATTATGTCAATACTAGGTAGCACTCAGTATTTGAAATACATTTTTATGTTACTTCTGAAGAAGAATATGGCAAATTGTATGGCCTGTTGTATATATTTCTTACATTTGACTTTAAGAATGCATTTCAATGTGCCTTTATTCATTTTTGAAGGGATACGCCCATAAGAAACTAAGACTGGATTGATTTTCATGTAGAGTGCATTCTCTTTCTGAACTCACAGTGGCATCTTGATTCTGCACTTCCTTCTCCTGTGTTCTTCCTGACCTATTCTGACTAGAGTATGCAGCTCACCTGGCCACCCTAGAGGGGAGGGGTTTGGGGACTGGGTGAGAAGGGTGAAGGGATTAAGCAAAAAAAAAAAAAAGAATCATGGACACAGACAACAGTATGGTGATTGCCAGAGGAAAAGGGAGGTGGGGGGAAGTAGAAGAAGGTAAAGGGAGGGTAGATGGAGATGGAAGGAGACTTGACTTGGGGTGATGAACATACAATGTGATATACAGATGATGTGTTGTAGAATCATATACCTGAAACTTGTATAATGTTATGAACCACTGTCCATTCAATAAATTCAATAAAAAGGCAGTATTTCTGACCTTTCTCACTTCCTTTCTAGCTTCATTTTCTCTTAGACTCACCACTAACATACCATTTATTCAACTTATATAGATCTTGTGTCTTTTCTATTTCCCAGTATAATGTAAGCTTCCAGAGGTGTGGGATCATTTACCCTTTTTTTTGCTGCATGGTTCCCACACCTGGAATAGTACTTGGCACATAGTAGGTGCGCTCAAAGGATTGAATAAATGAACATTTAAGGAGGAGATTCCAGAGAATGGCATTCTGAGAATACCGCCATTGTTATTTGTGGGATCATCATGAAGTACTTTTTAACAGCAGAGTAAGCAAGAGATGAGATGATAATTTTGTATCCAGTCCTGAAGCATAAGGGAAGAAAAGGCATTTTTACTGAGGAAAGAGGAGTTTCTAAGAGAAATTTATAAGAGGCTCAATGAATACTTTGAGTTAATGTTGGATGCTTACATATAAAAGCACTTGCTATGGACTGAATGTTTGTCTCTCCCCCCGCCCCACCTCCCCCAAATTCTTACGTTGAGACCTAATCCGGAATGTGATGGTATTAGGAGGTGGGGGGCCTTTGGGAGGTAATTATGTTATGAAGGTGGAGACCTCAGGAATGGGATTAGTGCCCTTCTAAAGGAGACCCCCACAGAGCTCCCTCACGCCTTCCACCAATTGAAGTTACAGTGGTCTTTGAACCCAGAAGCAGGCTTTCACCAGATACCAATCTGTCTTGGTCTTGGACTTCCCAGCTTCCAGAACTATGAGAGAAATTTCTGTTGTTTGTAGGCCGTCAGTCTATGGCATTTTTATTATAGCTGCCTGAATGGGCTAAGACGGGAACTATGGCCAGCAGTTTCTTTCCAAATATGGTTTAGAATGTTTCTTAGCTAATTTTCTGGGTCTTTCCCCTTCACCAGGTGCTGCAGCCAAATGGATCCATTTTTCAGTCCCTGAATATGAGGTTCCTCTCTTACATCTGGAATTGGGTCAGACTTTCTCCCTCTCTGTTTCCACCCCTCTTCTTCCTTCCCTTCTCCCTCACTTCCTCTTTTTAAATCATTTGTTAATTAACTCTCATGGGCCAGGTGTTATGCTAGGTTCTGGGATCACAGTGATGAATAAGATTTAGACCTTGTCACCAAGTTCCATGTGTTCTAGACCTAGTAGAGAGCTAGGATTTCGGTGGGTGGGAGTGTAGAAAAGAGAGGCACTGACTAATGGCTTGAAGGCAGTAAAGATCGACTGGGTGGGCTGGTGCTTGAGTTGGTGCTGAGACTACATATAGGTTTGGTTGCGGATCTCACCTTTAAAAGAATTACACATCTTCTAAAATTCTGCAGACTATTTAAGAAAATGATTGTATCCTCTTCAGTATACTTGAGGCAAGCCCAAATCATGATTCTTATGTGTCTTGTCAATGTGGAAAGGGCTGTTAAATGGTAATTAATTTAAAAACTGTGATTCTAGGATTTAATGATTTTTCTTTGAAAATTACCATTAAAAAAACAACAACTCAAATTAATCACAGAAATATGTGATTGTGCATTCTCTGAAACTGGTGTTAATGATGTTAGAACTTGGCTTATAGTTTTTCTTCTTAATTCTTCATGCCTGTTGCTATCATAACCTTCTGATCGTTCTCGCTTTTATTATTTTGCTGTTCTGTGCCCAAGTGTGCTAACTTTAAGCAAAGCTAAATGGCTTTCCGGTTTAGTTGTGCATAAAACACCAAGAATGTACTGGTGTGTGTATCTTCACGATGCCAAGAGATTGAGGGTTAGAATGTTAATTTCATTTAGCATTTCCTTTCTTTTTCTTTTTTTAAAAAATGTATTTTTAATGAGAGGAAGGGAGAGGGAGAGAGAGATAGAAACATCAATGAAGAGAGAGAACCATTGATTGACTGCCTCCTCATGGGGTTGGAGCCCACAACCTGGCATGTGCCCTTGACCAGAATCAAACCCGGACCCTTCAGTCTGCAGGCTGACGCTCTATCCCAGGGGTGGGCAAACTTTTTGACTCGAGGGCCACAATGGGTTCTTAAACTGGACCGGAGGGCCGGAACAAAAGCATGGATGGAGTGTTTGTGTGAACTAATATAAATTCAAAGTAAACATCATTACATAAAAGGGTACGGTCTTTTTTTTTTTTAGTTTTATTCATTTCAAACGGGCCGGATCCGGCCCGCGGGCCGTAGTTTGCCCACGGCTGCTATCCACTGAGCCAAATCTGGTAGGAACATTGAACATTTTCTGTGGAAGAAAAAAAGGGTGATAAAGGCCTTTTATTTAGGGAAATAAAGTAAGGGTTTTAGTACTTTTATAAATTTAAATAAAAATATGTAGAGAAAATTAGATATTTTAAAGCTCAAAGTAATGAGACTATATATATCTATTTGATGTCATCTGGGATTTTTTTTTCTATCAAGCTTTTCTGGTAAAAGGAAATCTTCCAGTAGTTTCAAGAACAATAATGAGAGAATGGAATATTTAAATACAGACAACACTCAACAAAAACAGTCATTCCATGCTGAGCTAAGGAAACTTTTAAAATTTATACTTAAAGTTACACTTACTGAATCATATTTTTATTAGCTACCTTAAATGTTAACTATTAATATACGTTTTAATTTGAAACTGATGATTATGAGTGTAAAGTGGGTTATCAAAACTGTTTTAATATTTCTTAATATTTAGGCTTCTAAAGAAATAAGAACAGTCAGAGTGATATAACCATCTCAGTCATTGACAAACAGAATATTTAACTGGCATGACAGTTATCATCATTATGCTAATAATAGGAGATAGGGCTCTAGAAGGATTAAGCATTAGTTATTCCATTCCCTCAAGGAAACGGCAGAATTCAGCTTCACTGGCTTATAATTAGAAACAAAGTGTATTTTAACACTGAAAAAAAAAATCTTAGGTACCTCAGCACACAGTATGCTAAGGGCCTGTGCTTCAAGCCTTTTAATCTCTAGGTGTGGCCTATGGTATAAATACTTCCGTAAGCATTTACATACTTGACATTTAGCAATACAGCAGTGTGCAATCACATCCACATGCTTTGCCTTATGAAATAGAATGAAAACTTCCTAAGGACAGGGCGAGCTGCTGCTGATTTTGTATGTCTTTCTCATCCATAGTGCAATCCAGGCTCAAAAATGGTGCTTTGTCACGGACAAGACGGGCACAGGAACAGAAGATTAAGCTTTCTTTTTCCACGTTTTTCTTTTTTCCTTTTCTTCAGCAGCAGTACAACTATTAATGGTGATAATAATAATAACGACTACAGAACACTTGCTTGCTTGCTATTGGCTAGGTAGGACTACTGTATTAGATTTGATCCTACCCTTAGGACCTATTAAATAGCGTTATTTAAATGTTGTTGTTGTTGCCATTTTATGGATGAGGCCTCTGAGGCGCAGAGTGGCTAAGTAACTTGCCTAAGATCACAAGTCAGTAGAGTGGCTGGGCTATAACCAGATAGTCTGGCTAGGCCCCTGCCTATCCCTGTGCCGCTTGCTGAGAGAGCTGTGTCCAGAGGCATTGCTTCCAATTTTAGCAGCCTTTTTGGCGCTGGCCTATCCTGAGTGGGATTTGTGATTCCTCTCTTTTCTTTTTCTTTCTTTTATCTCCCCACCCCATTAGGTCAAGTACAAAAGAGATTTTGAAGAAAGCAAAGGGCGGGGCTTCAGCATCGTAACTGACACACCGGAACTGCAGAGGCTGAAGAGGACTCAGGAACAGATCAGTAATGTAGGTGGCTGTTCAGTGATGTCATAGCCCTAACTTGTGTTTCTGGATGAGACAGTGAGATTGGGTGACTTGGAAGTATTCTTGTTGCTTTGGTATGTAAGCAGTACTCATTGTACTCATATACTATGCCAAGCTCATCTGTGGAATTCCTTCCCTTTGATTTTATCACAGGTATCTAGAACCTAACACCTCCATAGCAATGTCTATATTTCTTTAACTTAACAGAAGTTATTATAATTTAACATCTTATTCCATTTTGAATGGTCTTCCGCTTTTGAATTCTTCCAAAATAGGACTTTCATAGCTAAGTTAAAAAACCCAACATTTTATTTATTTACTTATTTATTTTTTGCTGTGGATAAGCATACAAAAAATATACATATAAAGTCAAGTATCTTGAGGAATCTCATATTTGCTAATTATGTGTATATAAGATTTTATACTTTAGATATTTATAGAAATGAAGTATTACATCTCATTTTAAAAATAAACATTTACATAGGAAGTCACTTTGAATTTGAAAGCTGCATCTTACTCAGTAATATGTATTTGTTTTTAAAAGAAAATTGAGACTAACAAGTTCAAAGCATATTAGGTACCAAAAAGTGTTAATTCAGTACTTATTACAGGTGGACAAACAGCTATTCTTACTTTTTATAATTTATGTCTGTGATTATGATTCTTCCAAAGTATGATATAAAGTTTGTTAAAATGTGTTTTATTAAGAAAAAATTAGTTCAATGTTAGGTATTCAAGAGGAAATATTAATGAAATCAACAACTGTGTGCATGATATAAAAGTGTGCAAATACGCATTTTTCATGAGAAGTTTATCTTGTGTGTCATGTATAGTCACTAAACTTTGTATATATAAACGTTACGTTATGTAGCCTTAATTACCAGGAAATGTTTAATTAGCAAATGGTTTTAAACTCATTGATACATGGCCATCATGATTATATATAGAGTGACAATTTGCAGATAGAATAGTATATAATTTGAGAAAGAATTTCATTTGTCAAAAGTTCAAAAACAGAATAATGTTTGAAAAAACATGTAGGGTGTGAGAGGAGGCAAACACTTTTTTTCCCCAAATTTACCTAATGTTTACCCATTATTTGCTCTTTAAATGGACATTTTATGAAGTATTTTTTTCCTTTGAAGAGAAAGGAATGAATTTTAAGGATGCATGACTTCTGTCCCTTAGTTTTTCTACTCGATCTCAACAAGCCTCACTCACGAATACCGGAGATCACTCGCTCATCTGTCTTTCTCTTCTCTTTATTTTTTCCTTAAATCAAAACTGATTTTTTACTTTTAAAAATGCAAATTAAAGATATATTTCACTGGCAGTTACATTCAGTAGCGTCTCTTTTTTGTGTGCATTATTTTGGGGAACTTTTATTAAACATATAAAAATAATGCTGCACAAAACAAAGCTATAAATCTTCAACTATCACAGAAATTTATTTCGAAAAGAGCTAAACATTCTGCTTAAGATATCGATGTGACAGCTAACACAAGGATTGCAGTGGATTGAAAGGTAAGCTTTTTAATTTATATTCAAATTCAGCCAATATTCATATTTAATAAGAAAAGAACTGATCATTTCACCAACCTTTATCATTAGCAGGAATATGCATTTTATTCAATACCAGAGGCTGTTTGCAGATCCACTCTTCATTATGCAAAAACCCTTGTCACACAGGTATGTATATACATGTATATATCATACACATAAGAGTATATTAAATACTATTTAGATTAAGCCTATAATTTAGACAATGCTGATTTTTAAAAGCTTGTAATTTAGATATCTTAATGTTATTGCAATTGTCTTGATATTAGCAACCATAGAAGTCTTGCAAGTAGTACTTGTAGCACAATGAGGCATGTGAATATGTGGATAGTAGTAGAAAATACAGATTTCATAATATTACTGGTAAGGATTTACTCTTGAAGAAGGGAAGCTGTTAAGTATTCTGAGGTCAGTGAATTTATTATTCATTTAGAAATGCTGCAACTTTATGAACTTTTTCCATGATCTCACGGGGTTTTCCATATTAGCCAAAGACCTTTTTTTTTGTAAGAAACATGGGTTAATCTGAAAGCTGGTATGTTGGCCAGTTCCATTTTCCACATTACTTTCAGATAAACCCAAACACTGAAATATATTGGCCAAATGCAGACAGCAGTTTTTTTGTTTTGTTTTGTTTCTGTTTTCAGACAGCAGTTTTTGACAGTGGCCTGGTCTGTGTCTGTTTTGAGGTGGAGAAGGTGAGAAAATGTCCAGACTGGACAGACATCAGACTCTCTGCTGGAGGTGCTGGGAGGCTCATCCTGGAAATTAGAAGGGATATGAGATTTGAGCTCCAAGTTTAATACAGGATGACGTAGGTGGGTTAACTAAGCCAGGGTCTTCACAATCTTTATTTTTCCATTTGTTTCATTTTTTAACTTGGTTTTACTTTATTTAGCTTCGAATGTTGTCTGAATCCCCTCCTTTTATTTAATTTATTGGGTGACACTGGTTAACAAAATTATACAGGTATCAGGTGCACAATTTCACCACACATCATCTGTACACTGTATTACGTGTTCACCGCCCAAAGTCAAGTCTCCTTCCATCACCATTTATTCCCCCCCATTCCCTCTGTCACCTCCCCCTCTCCTCTTTCCCCCTGGCAATCACCACACTGTTATCCGTGTCCATGAGTTTTTTCTTTTCTTCTCCCCCTTCTCCCCCCAATCTGTCTGGATCTTTCTAAGCTGCCTTTAATCCCCTTTGGAGTAAAGAAAGTATAAAGACATAAAACAGGGGATTTAATGACACTCCTAGGTGTTTTGGGTAATACGTTATGGATGAATGGGCATTTTTGATTGCTTGTGTCTGTGTCAGTTACATGAAAAAATTTTCACACACTTTCATAATCATTTGTCCAGGATTTGAAATCATTTGGAAACGCCCACTCAGTCTGCATATGTTGGTGAGGTGTGGGATAAAATACAGCTGTACATTTGAAATTGTGTGTAATGAAAGGGTGAGAGTGGGTTTAGCCTTGACTTCCTTCTTTGGGGATCTATAATGACAACATACTGAACCTGGGAGATTTATTAAATGCTGCAATTTAAAATTCTTCTGCTATATTACTCAGTAGAGCTGCAGAAAGAATAAGAAAAGAGGCCGGATTACAGAATGTGCTGAATGATTGGAAAGAAACAGAATTAAATTCCAAATAAAAAAATTTTTTACATGAAATTCCAGAAGATGTCTTAGTATCTCCCCCACTCTGCCTTCTCAGCCCAATCCTAGGGCATAAATTCACAAATGACAGAATTATCCTCCACAATTTTTTTTTCCTTAGTGATTGATATTCTAGGAAAAGGTTCTTAAAGGACAATGAACAAACATGAATTGAGGAATTTCTGTGCTGGATATTTTTAAAAACCTTTTTTTTTTCTGTTGTCCATGTAGCTCTAGCATGTGTGGGTAATTATAATTCAGGTGATGACCACGTTCATGTTTAGAAGTAGTGCATTCAGGGAACCAGCAGCAGGAGAGCGAGGCAGAATCACGGCCCACATCTGAGGGACTCATCCAACCTTGAGAAGGTTACTGATGTATTTCATTCTGCCTGTTCAGACACTAATATAAGCTGCACTTTCAATTAGCTAAGGCAGTCTGTGGATAAATTGTGAAATAAAATGGTAAAGTTCAACTCCGAGACACTTTTACAATCTTTGTGCAGTAGATAGAATTTAGATGCTTTTTTAAAAATTTGTTTCAGGTGGCGGAGAAATATTTTATGAAGGGGAAGGAAAAGAGCCCCAGATGACAAAACTTGTATTTTACAGACTGACTGAAATAGTAAGTGTACCATTATGTGATTTGTCAAGATTTGTTCTTGTCCGCGACGCACAGAGGAAGTAATTGTGTGTATCTGTGTGCATGTGTGTGTGTGCCTGTGCGTGCTGGCTTCAGTGGGAATCTTTAGAAGCCCTTTCCTTAGATCACTGATGGCACAGACGGTACTATTTTCACCTGCTCTATATTTTCCCCCTTACCCTGCCAGGATCTATAATTTTGGTTCTCTCTCCTGTTTCCCAAATGCCTGTTTTACTACCATTTTCAATTTTGCATACTCATTCATAAGAAATGCTTACTGACTTTACAAAAAAAGCTAAGGTTGAAGGTCTTTGTTTAAAACATTATGGAACAAAGAATGTCTCTGTAATTTGATATTAAAATGTGATTATTTTTAGTTTTTTTGATGTGGTTACATAATTTTTCATTGACTTCTTAGAATGCAAAATAAATTATATGCTCATTAATAAGCTCGAGTGAGTACTGTTGATTTAGTTCCCTAAGACTTTGTGAGTTAACTTAAAAACATTAGATTATTGGAGGTAAACATGGCCTAATAATTAAATCGCAGTGCCTATGGACTCTTAAAAGATTTGATTCAAAGTTGGGTTGAGTGTAAGGGTGAGCATGAAGGGAGGGATGACTATCTAGGGATCTGGTCTCTGTTTGTAATTTAAATAAATCATTTTGACAGAGACTGACTGTGGCCATGTTCAGGCTGCTGACAGTGTGAAATTGAGTTGTATGGTGGACAGAAGACAAGCAGTCAAGAGAAATCCCCAAAGGCAAATTTTGTTATGTAATTGGGTCAACTCATGCATGAGAAATGCATGCTAATTGTAAACTGGTGGCAAAATTAGAGTATATGAGGCAATTAGATCTTATATGAACCTGCACAACTGACGTAGGATTTCTCCATGTTTTAATATTTGGCAAACATTAACAATGTTTTCTTAAGGCGAGAAAGGTAAAAGTTAGAAAGTTATTTAATATTAAAATTAAAAAAATTATTTGTTAATTTTGTTCCTTTACACAAGAAGCATAAGTTCTATAATGAAAATTTATATGCAATCTAATTTTGAGTAGTAAAATGTAGCACACTAAATTTGAAAGGAGAATAGGATGGCATTTTTGTTATAAACCATAACTGGGTTGATTAACATAGATGATTAATTATTAGGTCAATGGTTTTGATTTAAGCCTTTGGTGTCTATTATTTTCATGGAGCAAATTTACATGTTACTTTAGTTGATCACACTTTATCTCCAACTTATCTCAACCAGTGACTCTGATGCATTTTTGAGTAATAGTGGGTCAGCAGCATTATTTTATAGCAAAGACCAACTATGTCAGAGAAAGTGATAGGGCAATAACATATATTTTCCTTCTAATACCTAACACATGTATGAATACTTTATTCATTTCAGAAGACTGACATATCCAGTCTAATTAGAGCCTCTGAACAACCTCTCCTCAGGGAAAGTATTTCTATAAGGAAAGCTTATACTTTCATGAGAAAAATGTATGGAAAATTACCTTGTGGTCCTTTCTCATTTCCAAATCTGTGGTTTCCCTAACACCTGGTTTTGCTTTATTTTTCCACCTAGGGCGGAACTTCAAAGGTTGATCTCTTCTTTTTATCCTCAATTTTTTAGCCACAGTCACTTAAAGAAACAAATACATCCCAGACCAGTAATTACTTGTGCATGGCAAGTACAAGAGTTGTGGTTATAAAATGGCATTGTCTGAAAGGGCCCCTATAATAAAAGAATTAACACGTATGAATTCTTTTTGGAACCAAAGATGAAGGATCCAGCAAATGTTTTCTGAAGATCCGTCTTTTGTGAAATCCCTTTTCCCCATCCCCCCCCCTTTTTTTTTCAGTCCTACAGTGTTTAGGCCCTTATCCTGCCTGAGTTCTTGCAGGAGCCTCCTAATTGGCCTTATCTCCTTCCAGGCTCTTTCTGCTCCTTCCATTGTATCTTAAACACTCTCACCATATGACTTTCCAAAATATCTGTTTCATTAAGACCCTCATTATGACCCACTAAAATTTTTTCCTTGGACCTCCACTTTGAGGAGGATAACATCTAATCCCTTTAAGCTCTTTAATTCTGACTCTAAGGACCCTCCATAATCTGCTTCTAAATTATTTCACCTCATCTGTCACTGTCCTTCAACACTATTCTTTCATTTGTTTTAGGCCTGGCCAGCTAATTTGTTTGAGGCTTTTGCATGAGTCATTCCTCTTGTTTGGATCAATTTCACACTATCCGTGAATGACATCCCCACCCCTTGATCCTAGACACACACTCAGACCCCAGCTACAGAGAGCTCACGGAATCACCATAGTGCTTTGTGCGATAGCACTATGATCTGCACTGCTCATTTCACACATCACATTCCACATTTTGGCTTTAATTAGCATTTCACGTGGTATGTGTTTTACCCCTCTAAATTCATGAAGATGAAGATTATTCATGTCTTTTTCAATTTGTTTTTTGTATTTATCCAAGAATGCATTCATGGCACTTTGCACCTAACCTTTCTTGTCATGTCCTTAATTTAGGGCCCTCTCTGTGCCTTGCTTGGTTTGTATCTCTTTGTCTGTTCTCACCTGTCACAGTACTGCCTCTTCTCCCTCTATTGGTGGTTTCTTGCAAGGTTCCTAAAACACACATCTAATCATGTCACTCTCTTCCTTAAAATCTGTCCTTGGCTCCCCATTGCCTTTGGGATAAAATGCAGAAACTTTAGCAAGGGGTATGCGGCTGTCCCTGTTTAGTGCCAGCTGAGGTCTCCAGCCTGGGTGTCTGTCTTGGACTTGAGCCCTATCCACTTCAAACTTCTGCCTGGAAGGCCATCTGCACACTCTCCACATCCCTGCTCAGCTCAGAGGCTGCCTTCTCTTCCCTGGCCTTGCTCTTCCTCTCCCCAACCTGGCAGTCTGATTCTACAGCTGCATTAGGTGCTTTCTCCCTCCTAGACTGAATCTCTGGAGAGTTGGGCTGTGTCTTTTTCTCTGTAGCCCCAGGACCTAGCACAGAGCTAAAATTAATAAACAGATTAATTGACTTCTTGTGCCAACACATCTTTTTTTTCCCATTGCTTCTTACTCTGCCCAGGCAAGGCTGCCAGTTCTGGGACTTACTCAGGACATCCCCTGACAAACACACCCATTTTGATCCTTTGAGAAGTGACTACCTCTCAAATTGTGTGCATTTCATTTTATAATGGCAATTATTACAAGGAGTTTTACTCTTTCTAAATTTATTTCAATCAAACATCTATTAAGATCTATGTAGATATCACATTGATTTTCTTCCTTAAAACTTCCAGATCTTTCCTTCATTTCATCATTCTCAGGCATAAAGTAGTTACCTAATTAATCGTTGTACAGTAAATGACTGACTTTTATTAAGGATATGTTGGGTTATTTTTGGTATTTCCTCAATTTTTTTTTCAGAAGAGTCTGCCTTCCCATCCAAGTCTAGGTAAATAAAATTTTCTTAGGATAAGAGCGTAGTACTGTAGGGAATTAATCAATCCCTTCAATACAGAATTGCTAATACCTAAAATAACTCTGTACACAGAGCAGGTACATCTGTGTTGAGTACATGAATGAGGCAATGATATTAAAAAGATTGACTACTTTTGCATATTCTTTCTCTTGAAACTTCTCTTTGCAAGAGAGGGAGTTTTTAAAATTGCTTTGAACTACATTTGTTTTGTGCTGCTTTCACCTATTTTGCACTTAAATATTTCTATAACTTCATCAACAGATTATAGCAGTTTTCTTTCAGTAAAGCAAGGACCAATTGCTTTCTAATGTGGCATCTAAAAATTTCATTATATTAGAAATGCAAGGGCTACCCCGGTTTTAAAATATCAGAGCCAGGGAATTCTTTTTGGTCTAAGCACCTGAGAAAAACAGGGCTTCCATTAGTCTCCTCAGGCTGCCATAACAAAATGCCGCTGGCTGTGTGGCTTAAGCCACTGCAGTTTATTTCCTCACAGTTTTAAAAGCTGGAAGGCCCAGATCAAGTCAGGAAGGGTGCTTTCTGGTGATAGCTCTCCTCCTGGCTTGCAGATGGCCACTTTCTTGCTGTGCCCTGACATGACCTTTCCTCAGTGCCTGTGCAGGAGAGAACGAGGTCTCCGGTGTCTCTTCCTCTTCTTGGAAGGGCACTAACTGAATAGGATCAGGGCCCCACCTGATGACCTCATTTACCCTGAATGACTTTCTTAAAGGCTCCATCTCAAAATACAGTCACATGGGGGTTAGGGCTTCAAAATCTGAATTTGGGGTGGGGGACACACAATCCAGTTCACAATAAGACGAAATGAGAAATGATCTGCATACATCACAGGGTAATTTAAAGATAAGTAACATGTTGTAACTAGTGGAGGTGGATGACACTACCTGTTACATTCCAGGAAAACGTATACAATCAGTTTTTTATTTTCCCCATTATATAAAATCAGTTTTTAATTTTTCCTATTTTCAAACTGAACAATCTTAACTAAAAAACAAAATTCCTTTTAGGTTCTATTTCCCATCCTTTGTTGGCTCTTTCAAGCCTCTTTTTACTTGTGGTTTTTGAGTCATAGTCACTTACAAAAACAAAGATAACTTACAGTAGTAGCAATTATGTTTTTCACTTTTTCAGGTCTCAGTTGAGCTTTGTAGATTACTCACATGCCCTGTGCTGGCAGTTTGGCCTGGGCAGATGTGAAGAAAAAGGAGGGGAGAGGTATGACAATAGAAAATAAGTATTCATATGCCACAGGGAAAGTCTAATAAAGACTAGTTTTTTTAAAAAAATCTCAATTTCTGGTGCATTATACAGATTTAAAAGTTAAAAAGTATCTGACTCTTCTTCCAGATTCTATTATAACCCTTGGAACACTCCTAAGGGAGAGTACATGCATACTATATTGAATGTTAAAGAAAAACCAGAAATCTCACACATATATTTGTGGAGTCTCCAGATAGGACTATCATTAATAATTATGCCACCTAATTATACTTTCAGTGGATATTTGGAAGTAAGTTTAAAACCTGTTGTGTTAGTTAATAAGTGTAATAGTCAAGTGTCATTTCAACTTATTAGGAGGTCATGAATCAAGGAAGACATCCAGAGATTTGATTACAATCCTTTGGTAACCCAAACCAACTTTATACCATTAAAGAAGCTTGCATGATTGCAAGTTAGAAGCAAGAATTTTTTTAAATTATATGCCCATGTGATTTCTAGTTTGCATTTCATTTTTCTAGAAGAATTGTGTTATAAATATTGTTTTTCTTTAGTTTTTGCTTGTACTTTCTGTTACAGCTTTTCTTTCACTGATGTTAAGCCTGTTTTGATGCCTTTTGTTCCTGTGCACAGAACTGTAGGCAGTGCTGCTTGTGAAAGCATACCTCTAAATTCCTGTTTGAAGGACCTCTTGTTTTTGTGAAGTACCTCGTGACTTGGTTCCAAGGACAAGAGCAAGAAGTTATGATCATTTTCTTCTTGTTTGCTCCTCTTTCGGATCGACTTTTCCTCTTGCAGCTATATTAATTGTAACAAAGTCAACCTTTAATTTGTTTGAATTAAGCTTTTGTACCATTGCATTCTTACAATTACACAAGTGTCAGAACGTGCTTGTGTTTAGCAAACTATGAAAAAGAGTATAGGTTTAGAAAAAAGAATAAGAGGACAAAACCTTTAAAATCATTCTGTTCTTTTGGAAACTTACTTTTTTTTTTTTGTAGAGAGAATTGATTTTCCCAAATGGGTTTAAATATTTACTTTTGTTGGGTAATTTATTATGAGGCCTCTGAGGGCAGTGACATTTCTTGTTTATGTCTGAATTCTTCTGAACACAGTGCTTTGACTATAAAGAATAAGATCGAAGCGGGAGTGGCCTTCCCAGTTGCTTTACATGTGCAGAGGTGTTCACTTAACATTTGCTGTGGACATCACGTCGCACCAGGCCCGTGGATTGTAGAAAATATGGGGAAACACTTTTTGTATGGGCTTTAGACTAATGCTAGGACACAGGAAGTGGCTGGGAGAGGCTTTCACGGAGAAGGAGAGCCTCAGTGCAAGGGGGTCTGTGAGGGAGAGAATGGCGTTGAAATGAGCAAGGGAAGGAAGGAAGGAATATGATGAGGTTAGGAATACCCGGCAGCTACTTGTTAGACTGCAGAGAGAGACTTTATTACTGAAGTGTAGATTGAGACAAGATTGCTGAAAGAGTTGTATCATATTTTCAAATGTGCATATTTTCGGTATCTATAAATAAAAAAAAATTTTTTCTTTAAAGAAACAACTTTTGGAAAAAATTATTGGGCTTAACAGACACTTTTCAGTGTTTACTTTGTGGCAGGCACTTTGTTGGAGGTGGGTGGAGTAGGATAGAATGAGGAATAAAATAGATATGACCCCTGACCTCGCAGAGCTTGCAGTTTATCCTCTAACAGGTGAGCAGGTCATTGCTGCACAGAGATAAGTGCTCCTTAGAGGAGGCTTGGGAAGTAAAGGAGTCGAACCCTTGCCACAGGCATTTGAAAATAGTTGTTGAAGAATTTAACTGAATCATTCTTTTTTTGAGTAGTGGTTCATACTGTCCTTTTGTAAATTGGTGCTATCAGTTTTACTTTTAAGTTTGCCTGTCTCCTTATGTATTCCCTGCCTGTCAGTATGGGTTTCCAGAAAATATCATTTAAATTAATCAAACCGTAGTATTACATATAAACTGTAAAAAATGCTCTTTTATAGAAGAGTATCGATCATCAAACATTAATTTCAGGATGGTTAAAAAAAATCTATATAAATTCCTGCATGCATTTAGTAATTCAGACATATGTTCTCTCTTTTGGTTTTCAGAGCTTTTGCATTTGAGAGGTTTTGAAAATAAAACTAAGGCCATTTTTTCTTTATCTCTTTCCCCAACTTTGGTAGTGATACTTCCAAAATAAAATTTTTTTTTATAACCCAGTCGAAAATATTGAGAAAACATTTTGCTTCTAAAAAACATACACATATCCACAAGAGCCTCACATGAACCTGTATGTTTCCCATACACACAGAGAGTGTACAGACGAGTTTGAGCGCAGAGCTACTGAAAGGAAGTGACAAACATTGCTTAGTGCTGTTCGGTTTCCACCTTGGGCGATCTTGGCCCGGTCTGTGCTGACAACGAACCTCTGGGACGCCCCCTCAGTGCTGTGGGGTCTTTTCCTGCCAAATATTGTTCTCTCGCAAGATTAAATAGCCGAATCAGCGTGGCCCAAATCTTGATCCTGCTGAGAGTATTAAGACTCCTGCAGGTTGTAATACAGATTAGCTGGTGAGAGCTCTGTTGGAAAAATAAAGTGAGTTTCTCTAAATGAATTTAGCAACTGCTGTGAACCTTTTTGTGTCCTCCAGCACGAGTGAATGTGCTGGCAGTTAACCATTTATTTTCCACCATTTTTCCAAAAGTTGTTCCAGTCCACCCATGGTCATTTATTGTAAACATTTTCATAACTTTATTTAACATTTATGTTTTGCCAGGTAAGGCATTTGACATATTAAATTACTATGTACTGTGAAGGGCAGATCATTGTTGACTTTATTTATTTAAGGAGGAAAACCATTAGACTAACAAAATTAATTTAATATCATTCATATAATGGAATACCACTGGGTTTTTTAGAGTGAACTGATTAGCATATTGCATTCTGATCATAGGCTTTATGTTATTGGTCAGAAAGTTGTGAAATAACTAGCAAGAGGCGGAACTGATGGCTAAAAATATTTACATTGCTTCCCCCTCTATTCTATTACGATTTCTGCTTCTAGGGTTGGTTGATAACATTTGAAGGTTCTAAATTCTACAAAGATTATATGAGTTTTTCCCTTAAATGAAATAAATTTAAAAATCAACAGCAATGACACTAACCTCTAAAGCAGCGGTTCTCAACCTGTGGGTTGCAACCCCTTTGGTGGTCAAATGACCCTTTCACAGGGGTTGCCTACGGCCATCCTGCATATCAGATATTTACATTACGATTCATAACAATAGCAACATTACAGTTATGAAATAGCAACAAAAATAATTTTATGGTTGGGTCACAACATGAGGAACTATATTTAAAGGGCCAGAAGGTTGAGAACCACTGCTCTAAAGCATAAAACACACAGATAACCTGAAAATAATTAGCAGTTTGTTAGATTTCCTGGCTGCTGGCTTCTGGGTAAGTTCATAAAACTCTTTTCCCTTTTGGGGGCTCCTTACTTCACTTATATCTGAAGCATGTGCTCAGTCTGTTTATGAGACAGTCCTCCCATCTGCTCCCTACATTATTACCCATTTGTCTCCTGACACCTCGTGGGTGTGTGTATGATTTCTCGGTACAAATGTCTGTGACTGTGATTGTAAATGGCAAAGCATGACACAACTGTAGTGCCATTGAACTGATCAGTGCTGTGTTTACTTTTGTAGGTCTCCTTTGATTGTTACTGTGATTATTACAATAATAGCATGAGAAGATAAATAATTAATTAAAGTATTTTTTAGCTTGTTGCCATAAGTGTACCAAAAACTGGGGGGTAAGGAATGTCCTGAGAGAAGGCTGAGCAGTAGCAGTTTGGCAGCGTTTAGCCTGTCTTCATAAAATAGCCTATATTTTGCAGTTATCCTCTGTGAGAGTGCTAGACAAAGTACCACCTGATCTTAAGTCTGTTTCCTGAATACTGTGGAAGTGAGCTTGCAACTCTATCTACCATGCTGTTGGTGAAAGAATTGGGGCCAGGACTGAGGTCTTCTGCTCTCTAATCTGGTTTGCCCTTTTTGGACACATGATTCTGAGTCACCTTTTTGGAATTGTTGAAATTGGAGTCATTCAGAAATAGACTGTCAAGGTGCATTAAAAGTCTCTTAAGTACTAACCTGTAAATCTTCTAAAATATCATTAATGGCTCAAAAATGTGTCAAGCGGACAAAACACAAAGGTATTATCTTTACTAAATGCCCATGGGATTTCTGTGCCCAGGATCCCTGACTTGAATCTCACAATATGAACACTATATCCTATTTTAAGTTATGAAATATATCACATGTGTAAGTAGTCTATAGGAACTCATGTACAGTTTAAAGAATAATAATAATATGTACACCCATATACCTACCACCCAGCTTAAGAAATAGGGCACTTTGGAAACCTTTGAAGGCCCCTGACTAGTGACTGGGAACGCAAGGGCCACTGCATCTTGAAAACACAGATTTTCATAGTGGAATGATGACAAGGTAATATGAAATCCAATTCTCCAATTCCCATTTATGGAAACAACGTATGGATTTTGGAGAAAACGTCGTTGGTTTCTTGCACCATTAAAGCACATGAAGTCTGTAGGGCTTGTCCTCATTCAGCCATGCAGGACTCGGGCATGAGCATGTTGGTCACTGCGTCACCGTGCATCCTGTTTGGACGTAGGTGACACCCCCTAAGCGGGGGTGGGAACAAACATTCGTGAAGGGCTCACTCTGTGCTGGCACAGTCTTCCACATTTGTTATTCATTTGTTTTTCTCACCAATCCCTAGAAATAGTTGTCATTATCCTCATGTCACAGATGAAACAAGCTCAGAGAGGATGAATCAATTGCTTAAATGTACACGATTAGTGAAGAACAGAGCAGGACTTGAGTCCAACTTTTTTTTCTGACATTGAAATGCAAGATTTCCCCTCTACACCACCATTTTGGGACCATATCTTACACGTTATACCTTTGTGCCATGGAGCAAATGTCACAGATATAAGCTTCTTTATGTTGGTGCAGAATTAATTTATCCTTAAGTGGCATTTGGGAGATCAGATGGGCCAAATGTAGAAATTTCAAGTTTCTTGATGGTGAGAACATGAGTAGAATGTCTCCTCCAAACATTCCTTTATGTTCTGGGATACAGGATGGCTTTGCATTGCCTCAGAATGGGATTTGTTCATGTGACACCTGAGGTTAAGGTTGAATACATAATCGCCTTCAAGATATACTTACCTTTCTTATTCTACCCTCCTCTGAAGGTGCCTACTCTGGGCTTGGCACTGTTTTAGGAGCTGAGGATGCAAGATCTAAGTACATACAGTTTTCTTGTAGCTCCACACAACCAGATAGTAAGAAAGATGAGGTTTCAGGTCGTACGGAGACAGGCATCTAGTCTTAGCTGGTCATCGATGGCTTACAGAAGAAGGTGGCATGAGGTGAGTTTCTGTGAATGAATCAGCATAGAGGCAAGGGAGCAAGACATGATGGTGAGTGGTGGGTGGCAGAAAAATTCCCACATAGGGGAACTGAATATACAAGAAATCGAGAATGAAACTGCGCAGTGATTTTGAGGAACTGCAAATATCAATTTTACCCTTAAGAATTGGGGAGGGGGTCTGAAAGATCTTTTTTACAAGGGAATGACTAGATTTTAGGGTCATCATTTGTCTAGATGTCCTTTTGTCAACCTTCTCCCTCTGTGGATTGATTTCACTGTAATTTTCACCATGGGATTCCAAGGTCTCTTATTTCTAGTCATTGAACCTGAGATGATTAAAGCACTAGTGTTTGTAGGGGTCTGCTTTTGGGGAACAAAAGGAATAAAATCATGATTTTATAGATATGGGTGTCTGTATGGTATGTAAATAGAGCAAGGGTGTGTTCAAGACCCAACTGTGATACAAGCCTGGATAGCTAGTCTCAGACACAATACCAAGTTGGCAGGTCTGAGAGTGTAAGCCTGGGTAAATACGTATGCCTTTAGCATTGCGTGCAAATGCTACATTAGTCCCATACAGTTATGGAGAGAAAAATCTCAGTTCACTCAACTGTCAGGAATGGGGGTTGTTCTGGTAAACTTTTTACTATCCTATATAATAAAAGCCTAATATGCAAATCGACCGAACAGTGGAACGACCAGTGGAACGACTGGTTGCTATGATGCGCACTGACCACCAGGGGGCAGATGCTTAACGCAGGAGCTGCCCCCAGCCCTCAGACCCCAGGCTAGCCAAGGCAGGTGCCAGCAGGGGAGCCCCCCCCCGATCACCTAGCTGGTCACCCCACAGATTGGCCCTGATTGCCAGCCAGACTTAGGGAACCTACCCATGCACGAATTTCGTGCACTGGGCCTCTAGTATTATAATAAAGGTTAAGCCTAAACCTTGGTTGATTTTATTGACAGTGTTTCCAAACGTTAGATGACAAAA